GCCTTTTTCTATGACTTTGATATAACATTGATGGAAGTCATACAATTTTGTAAAATTTTTGTGCAAAGTTTCAAGCAACTCCTTCTCCATCTTAACAAGTCGCCTGCCATATATTTCTAAAGCCAATACATATGCCCTAAGATGCAGCTCCAACTCAATATCAGTGGTCACTGTATAGTCATCATATTTGACATTAATTCCAATTGTTTTCAAAACATTCCTCAACTGATTATCCTCTAACCTATTACCAAATAATAGCAACAGGTTGGATAATTTAATGAGGTGACTGATTCTGTCATTACTGTTGACAATTGATTCCAAAGTCGTAGATAGTTGTTCATTTAATTCAACATTGCTCAGATTTACTGTAAATGTTTGTTCATAATCTTCATAGCCATCACTGTCATTGTTATCACTGTCACTTTCAAAGACAATGAGGTCTCTCTTGAACACATTTTCAGTCTCTGCATTATCAAGCTGCTTCTCTTTCCCTTTGTTTTTGATATTAGTATTTGAGGATGATGGTTGTCCAATTTCCTAACAATATTATGAGTTGTCAAAAGCATTGCTTAATTTATTCCATGTGGAAATTGTCTTGAAAGAAGCATATTGAATGTATAACCAAAACTTACCCAGCTGTCTGCTGGCAACGAATATTCATAGTCCATAGCAAATTCAAAAGTTTTATTATTATCACAATACAAGCAGTGAAATTCGTTTTTTATAGGATCTTTATTGATATGTTTGTGTGATGTGATACAATTTAAATTAATTAAATTAATTGGAGTTGAATAAACCAATTATTGGGCAGTAATTTCAATGATGCCCTTTCTCGAGGTGAACACTGCACGTCCAGGATAAATTTCCTGTTGCAAGACAGTAAACAAGATGACATTTACAATTGTGTTATCAAAACAAAGTAATATGCAACATAACTGAGCCGTTTAAAATTGTGATGGAGATGATAGTTCTCAAAAGAATCATAGCTACATTTTTAGCGGATAGCGTATGGCTCCGTTCACAAGTACAGTGGACGGTGAATTAAGAACTCTCTTTTTTCTATCGCCAGGTCTTAATTTCCATATAAAAAAAAACATCCAACTTATGACAAGTGACTCCCCCGACACATTCCTTTCTTATATCGAAATTTTTTTACGAGATGTTAAATTGGGTCCAGCAAAAAACTTTCTTATAGGTCATCTTTCTTATATCAAAGGGTTTTTATATCGAGAGCCACTTGGAGACTACAGTTTCGTTCATAACATTTATAAGAGCAAATGTGCAAATAGCATTGTTAATAGATTTTACAGGATGTAATAGTCAACATCTACTAAATGCAATAACCCGTTTCACGCATGTAACATATAATAAGCCAATTCGCCGCTTGTACATACACATATCAAGACCTGATCGATATTTTTATATCCAATGTAATAGTTTGGTCCTACCTCATTTGTATCCCCCTATTGTATCCCAACCTCGGCTATACCCCAGCTTTTAAGCTGGACGTATAAATCTGCCTCATTTGTATCCCCAAAATCATGTGGTCCCGATGCCCTGTAATAATCTCGTGCCTCCTATCCCCTGGGTACTATATTACACAAAATATCATGCCATTTCTATTTATATACTCTGTACCAGATTTGTCAATCAATTGCCGTATTTCATACTACCAATTGAAATATTATGCCACTTTTAATAAATATTCAGGCCACATAAATCAGGCCACATAAATCAGGCCAACTTAAATCAGGCCAACTTAATTTTGGCCCTCGATAATTTGAAACTTGCAGATCCTTGGTAAAATAACAGCGAACGAGTATGTCGAAGTAGATAATGGTTTGGTTAGTACACAGTTGCCTACGGAAGAAAGAATTTCTTATGGCCGAGGGTGTCTTGCAGCAAATGTAAGTACATGCTGAAGCACGAAGAGGAGGCTACTACTTCTGTACAAATGGGAAGAGAAGCTCTCGAATTAGCTAAAAAAATTTTAGAATAAAGACAGTGAACCCTCTATTCAAGCACACCCTCGGGAATGCATCAGAGCATGCTTGAATAGAGGGATGCATGAATAGAGGGTTAGCATTTTATTGGTTTCACGTGACTGGTTAACAAAATTGATTGTAACGATCTAGTGCATTAATGTGGTTTAATAATTCTTTAGAATCTTCTTGCTGTATCAATTTAACAAAGACGTTTTAGATGTTTAATAATCAATCTAAGAGATAAACCATTGTACCCCCAAACGGGAGATTGTCGGAATAATCCCTCGACAATAACCGCCGATATACTCGAGAACGATTCTATATCTAGGATAAACGTCATTCTACGGTGAAAAAGCCCGTAAGTGAAAAGCCTTGCGATTACAAGGTCACTAACTGAACAATTAGATATTTAACTTGAATAGGAGGCGCCGCGCTCCGTCGAGACTAGTTAAATCCTTACTTTCTGCTCTCCCGCAGTAGTCGGCACGACAGCACTAAAACGTGATCGTACTTTAAAGTATGTTATATGTATAAACTAAATCTTGAATGGGAATGCTGTCTGGCACAATAAGTGGCAATACACTCAAATTGTAAAAGGACAGAATCTTGATTACCTACATCAATTCGACTGGTAATTGAAAGTACAATTTGATACTTCAATTCTAAAATGCATATTAGAATATCGAGGACACTAAATATGTTACGACCTATTCTAAGATCCTAAAGGGTTGGCCCATTTCAAGATGGGATCGATTTTATCACATTAACGCATACGTTTTTTATTTTTTATCTTTGTTATAATAAATAATAAATTCAATAGTAGAAGACTTGTTTCAAAAAATCTAAACAGTAAACGAACTTTACTGAATGTAAATCCGCAAGCAGGGAAAGCTTTATCAGTAATGAAGCAGATTGACGTAGTTGATCTTACTCTAAAACCATTCTATGTTAAAACTGGCATTGTAGCTAGATATTAAATCTCCAGATTTTTTATAACTACGGATCAATGCAGAATTCAAGAGTAATTACAAGAATAAGTTATTATTACTATGTCGTATTAACTTTCCGTTACTATTACAGCTCGCCCTTCTCCTGTACTACTCACTAGTTTACTAGTAAAACGGATAAAAAATTTTGATTGTACGTATTTCCTATGTGGGTCACAATGAAGTTGTGAAGCTGATTGTATTTTCGGTGTGGAATGTAATTCGTGGCATGTATGATTTCATGCATTTACGTAATATGATACCAGCCACCTCATCGAACCGCAATAACATCGAAAAATAGTGAGTTATTCAATAATCTTTTTTTTATTTATTCTGAATTGAACATATAAGCGATAAAGATTTTAGTATCTATCGAAAGCTTACTTCCACGCGTCTTTTAGTGTCACCAGTTTTCCCATTTTTTATTGATTTGTTATTGTGCAACAAGAAATAAAAGCTCTAGTTTTGATATTTTGACCGTATGATTTCAGCATGATAACTCTTATCCATGTAGCGCAGCGCGAGACGTTAAAATAAAGGGCATGGATCGCAAAAAAAACAAAAAACAAAAAACAACACAAAATGTTGGTAGATTGGTCCAGATTTAAATCCCATCGAACATCTGTGGGTGAACTTTACCGTCAATTGCGCAAACGTTCTGAATGCCCCAAAAGCCCTAAAGAATTGGAGATTTTTCTAAAAGAAGAATTCTCAAAAGAAACATATTTAAACGTCATTGATAGCATAACTAGAAGAATAGGGGCATGCATTGCTCACAATGGAGTATAAAGTTTTTATAAAAAAAATAAAGACATTTGCTTTTCATAAACTTTTTTTCAGAGAATGTAGTATTATTTTAGTACGTACGTAAATGCGTACAATCGAGATTTTCGAAAATAAAAATTTTTCATGTTTTACTAGTAATTTCAAGAAGTTTCCGGATACTTTTGGCAGGGGACATATGCCTGATATTAATGTCAACGAATGGATCTGTTACGACAACAATAGTCGACAAGATTTTTTCCATCTATGCAACAGCAGCGGCTGGCTGCGAAATGTCACTATTTGTGAATTATATTATTGAGTTCATTTGCTCATCTGATTCTACAGTTTAGATGTTATTACATTGCATCGTTATGTATATCATAATAGAAAGGTTCCCAACATTAGATTATGAAACCTATTAAATATAAACTATTTATGTACTGCTATTAAAGTATTCTTGTTACAGTATAAGCGTCAGTTGATTGTAACGCTTATGTGTTATAAGTTAATTGCCAAAATAGCAATTGACTGACTGACAGTACTTATGTGTTGTATTCTAGCTAGCAAACTCACAAGTGATATTCAGCAGTTTCAACTTCATCATTATCTGACGTTCCTTGTGAAAAGCGTAATACACGTTATCAATTTGGACTCGACCTTATATCGGTTACATACGAGCAAGGAATCCATCTACAGTAAGTATATGGTTGCGACTTGTTAAATAAAGAGAATTGAATTATTCGGGAAAAACATTCCCTACGTACGCTACCGTACATTACATCCTTCTCCCACGTTTCGGTAATTAGGTCTGTTGCTATATTGATATTTTTATTGACTTGTCAACATTAGCACAATTTGTTCGCCAAAAATGATAACAGCAGAGACATTGAAATATAAGTTTGCACTGCACTAGAGTGACCGAGAAATAAGTTATCGCCATTGATAGCTTTAGTTCCGAGTATTTTTCTCAACGAAATTTTTATTTTCGAAAGCGATCGCTTTTCTAACATAAGAAATTCATGCTTGCAAAAAAATCGATTCTTTGGTTTACTATTACTACTACGTGTTCAAAGTGTGAAATGCAACAGCTAACGCATGTCGACTTTGACGCTTGTTATTCTTATTGTGTAATCAAATTAACTGAATGTTAAATCCATTTTCTTTCAACAGTCTTGATCTGGAATATTGTCTGAGCAGCCAATATATTACATTTACTAATACAACCAATCTATACCATAAATTACTTGCACAATTCTATCTTTCATTAAAAGTCTGCTTGACGTAAATTCCGCGTTACAGCATCTAATTCACAGTGTCTCTCAAATGCAAGTACGTGGCCTAATGTTCAATGGCATATAGAATTAAACTCGTGGTAGTAAAAACGACAATTACAGATTGTGAATTCGCAACTTACGAACAACAGCCTTCTTGCTCGGTTCTTGCAATTCACCACCTACAATTTTGAGTACCTTTGTTAATTCTGCAAAAGAAACCATAGTTTGGGATATTATCTAAAACTTCACAGGTACAAACCGATCATTAATTCATCGAGGACTTGATAAGCCTGAAAAACATTAGATAAAGTCCATGATCGTTAATATCATAATTACAGTAATGGTAAAGTGCATTCTTTGGTCGCATTCAGTACCTTTTCAAAGTTGTAGATAATATCTAGTTCGCACACATTTCCAAAGTACTCATCCAACACTTGAACATAACGATGAATAACCTCCAACACATATAGTTCATTTTCATCCCAATCGACGCCGGCTGCAAAGTATAGACTTGCATATCTGTTTAGAGGAATTGTAGATAATATAAATTTCTTAGTATACGGATCCATAAGTATTATACGTTATCCTTGTATACTAAAAATCTTCTCACCTTTTGTATATAACCTTGTGGACGAAGACATAGAATACGGAACAATTATTCATAACTGATTATTATTCGTTCTTCAATTAGATCAATTATTCTAACCAACCTTGTGTTCTCCATATTCGAGAACATTACACATTGATCTCTTCCTTCCCAATATTATGGTAGACAAATCTGTGGACAAGTTTGTTTTCTGCTTCTCGTTGTAGAATTGAAACCATTTTCGAAGTCGCATTTTGCCATGGCGACTGAAGACAAGAAGATAGAGGATCTAAGTGATGGAAAAGAAAGCTTTGTCTACTGATAGTGGTAAAGCGTTCAAGACGAGAGGCAATGGAAAGACCAATACAAACCATTTATTATAGTATTTGATTAGCAAGGCAAGGATGTTCAGAGACTCCAAACAATTGAATGCTTGCTGTATTACAAATTTTCGTTATGCAGTTCACGTGCAATAAAGTTTGCTACATATATCGGATCTGCATTAATCATTTTTCACATACCATGTACTCATTATTTCACCAGACTCAAAGACAACTGTACTCGCAAATACGGTTTATCACCACCGCTGCTCCGCAATCACAGACACACTCGATTACTGAATTGGACTCTGCACTCAAATATTGTATTGATCTCGTTAGGCAGGATAATGATTTAATTTCTTGTCGCCATAGCAGCGTCACCCTGTACTGAAAACATGTTTCGCTTTGTCATTTGTAGGAAACATGATTATGAGAATTATCTTATATCAGCATTCTATCCCAAAGAAGCCAGGCCCGCTCATGTCGCCGTACGAGCATTCAATTTAGAAATTGCTATGGTGAGAGAGAATGTGAGTAATCCTCATATTGGGAGCATGAGAATGCAGTTCTGGCGGGAGACCATCGATGGTGTATTCAAGGTAAGATATGAAATGTGTTTGTCGTTCGCTCTTTTGTAATTCTTTGAATTGTCGTTTTTTTTCTCCCTCAACTTTCTCTTCGATTCAAATTATAAATTGATTTTGTTGCTGGTGGTGATGATACTGGTGGCATTTACCCCTTGTTTGACCATTACAATGCTTGGTTCAAAGTTGTTTAAGACATATATTAAGCATACTGTATTTTTGACGTTCAGGGTAATCCGCCAAGACACCCAATTGCTTTGATTCTTAGCGACGTTCTGAAGCGTTCCCGACTGTCACCCCTGTTTTTCAAGAGAGTCATTGACGAAAGAGTAAGTCTCCAATAATATAACCATGATATTTATAATTTTACATGAAAAATGTTTAAATTAATCTCCCGCCCCCTGCAGGCCTTGCACCTAAGTGATCTTCCGTGTATGACAATCAAAGACCTTGAATCATATGGTGAAAACACATCGTCTTGTTTATTATATTTACATCTAGAATCCTTGGGAATACGCGACTTACAAGCGGATCATGCCGCTAGCCACATTGGAAAAGCGATTGGTATTGCGTCAGTATTAAGAGCGTTTCCTTATTTGGCATCTAAACGGAGAATGATGGTCCCAGTAGACGTCTTGGCAAAGGTAAAAGATGCGATATAACTTGACATTGTTATCATCAATATGGTGTTGACAATCTGAGCAATAAGAAACATTCCCCCCTCGTCTAAATGGCCAACAGTATAACATTAGTCAAGAAGAAGTTTTTCGATCAGGAAGAGTTGAAGGCCTTGCCGATGCAATCTTTGAAGTTGCTACTACAGCACATGATCATTTGATTACGGCAAGATCATTCCTACCTCGAGTTCCAAAACAAGCTATTTCCGTTTTGCTCCCTGCAGTAAGTATAATGCATGAATAATGAATATACGTCAACAAGCGAATTTAACATGTTTGTTCCTTATTGGTTTCTCCTGCAAGGTTTCATGTGAATCTTATTTAAAGAGGTTAGAAAAATATAATTTTGATGTATTTGAACCAAAATTGAGCATACAAGATTGGAAGTTACCATTCACGCTGTGGATAAGTCATCGTAAGCAGAGATATTAAAAAAGACAATCTAATACAGGGGGAAACTCTAATTTGTTCTCGAGCCTCTGGCTATAAACGGAAATATTGTACCATATAGATAATAAATAAAAACGGCCTGCAACTTTCTATTAGATCATATGCACTTTCTTTACGCGATATGCGGTTCAAGGTATAACACTGTAGAAAAGTCATGTGCGCGGTGAAGTCTTTAAAGTCAAGACTGTTAAGCGTCAATGACCTCTTCTTTCTTTTGTGTCAATTAGAAAGGAAGGCATCTCACTCTTCATCGAGTGCCCTGCGTTAAGTGTTCGTTAAATGTGACTGACTCTTCTCGGCGCCTATTGCTCAAGTCGATGTCTTTTGGATAAAGGACAAGCGGGGTTGAGAACGGGAAGGTGGGCTAGAAAAAGGTGGAGTCTTGCTTTGCCAACTCCTAGATCGAACGCCTCACTCACTACTCGGTCAGTGACACATGCGGACCAATGACTAATCATTAAATGATTGAGAAGATTTAATTTACGGGATCCTACAAGTCATTAGGTTTGAATATAGTAACCCCGTGTGGATAGGCAAGCAGCCAAGAAAATCGAATCTTTGTTAGATCAACAGCAGGATGATACGATAATAAATAATCAAAGATAGGCCGTAACTCTAGTATAGTATATTATTATACAATACATAACAACAAACTCAAAATAGTATGACAAGAAGAGATGTAAGGAGAAAGATTATTGTAGAAAAGGGATATTATACGCGCTGCCTCTTTCAAACTTCCTCATCGGGTGTTCTATATAATTCTCTTAGTAAAAAGTACGTGACATCGGAATCCGACCAGTAACTCAAATGTACGGTAACTGCGTTAATATAACTGACATCCAGAATTCCCTCCTATAGAATAAGCGTAAAATTAGATATGATCAGAACGGGTCAATGTCGTATGAATCGATACACATAACAGTATGTCAATACATTTACCTGTAAGCAATAATCAACTCTTCCGGTCGAATTCAGACACTTCAACTTGGCAGCTCCAATCGGGTCATGATTCTCATTCTCATTTAAACTGCTCTGCGATTGTGAATTACCAGTAGCAGATGCGGTTGGCGGATGTTGAGTCGAGTTTGCTGTACTTCCGTCTCGATCACTGTCAGTTGTCACTTTCCTGCTTCCTGAATCAACGTATGTTCTGTTAAGAAGAGTACGTGCAAACATGACTGTTTTCACAGTCTCATACATAGTGGTGGCTTTGCTTGCAATTCCAGAACTAAATTCTTGTAGACCGATATGTACGGCTTTAAGACCTCCCTTGTGATATGGTATAAGTGCAGGCTTGAGACTTGCACTGTATTTGCGAGATATTAATGGTTCTACCAATATATATAGTCGATGTCAGGGACCGTCTTGGATAAACGTTGAACCCAGTTGCTTTGAAAACTTACCTAATTTATATGCAATTGGATCTAGTAAAAAGAGTATTTTCAGTACATTATCTTTTGGCGGTTCTCCCTTAGCAGGCATATTCATTAAACATACCTGCGCGATGAAATATGTTATAAATGTTCTCGACAGCAGGATAGCATAATGGTATGGGAGAAGCTGCTGGCGAAAGCCGGAGCCCCATTCCCAACTCATTATCACCCGACGCCTCCTGTTTTCTATCTCTGGTAAACTTTCTTGAAGAAATCTTGACACCTTTCAACAACAAGAACAACCCAATCGGTGATCCAACAGCGAAAAAGTTTTCAACCGGGAAATCCAACTTCACAAGACCCTTATGTAATTTGTCATCTGTACTTCCACCATCATCGAATATACCCATCGAAGAGGAGGGACTTGGAGGAACTTGGTGACAGAGAATGTCAAAGGCAAGAACGGAGCCGAGAGAATGGCCATAAATAGATACTTTCCCTCCAAGTTCGAGAAAATGTGGATTACGCTGAACGAAAAGATTGTATACACGATTGGATTCACGGGTAACCGTGTTGATCATTTGTTCTCTATACAATGGAGTCATGTACAGTAGCACTACATGGAAAATAATACATATGGGTTAAATTAAATCGACTTGTAACTGATTAAAGAAACTGTCTTTTTTATAACTGCTTCTCTTAATCGTTTCATTCGTCATTTTGCCCGTAATACTCCCCACCCATTCTTCTTTTCTCAATATACTACCATCCATTAGCACATCCGATATCATCAATCTAATCGTTGGTACTCCATCCAGCGTAATTTCATCCATAGTCGTTTGTCCATCTTCAGCATCGGGTAATCCCAAATCACGTTGTATTAATTCACTGTTACATGCCATCCCAAACTTGATTTCCTGTCTCCATTGGATCGGAAGGACTTGAACTCCGTCTCCGCGATGTGGCGTCGGTGTAGAGTTTCGCCTGGAAGCATTTGGTGAAGAGGATGTTTGAGAGCGAGAACCGAGTTCATTCGGTGGATTTGTTGCAAATGTATTCTTTATCGTTCTACGTAGAACATTGACGTCTAGCAATAAATGATCGGTGGATCGTTAAGGAGAAAACGCGATACGAAATACAGAAATCAAGCAGAATCGTATATGCAATCATACCATGGACAAAGTTGATAGCTTCCATCCGTTCACCTAGTTTTTGGCCAATGCTTTCAAACAGAAAAAAAAAGTGTAAACAAAGAATGTAGCTCGATCGGTATCAAAAATTTTCTCAAGTTGGGTCAACATACCCGTGAATGACTAGGACGAGATGATCAATGACTCTCTCTTCTTCGCTTTGTTCATTCTCATAATCATGACTCTCTATCGTCTCCTGTACGTATTCTTTCTTCCGCTCGCTGAACGACTGGTTCAGATTATTCGATTGGGTCTCAGTCTCTTCTTTCTTCTTTTCGACATCATCAGTTTTACCAGACATTGTCTTGGCCACTTCAGCATATCCGCGTATTAATTTTATTCCGCCAAGATTTACTCCCATTGTCAGTTTAGCAAATATTGCCTTTGTAAGTTTTCCTGCTACGTCGTCACTGATATAAAAAAAAGAGTCGTAATATAGATATAGATATAGATATAGATATAGAGGTAGATAGCATACACACACATTTTGATATGTACGTAACAAAACTATTTCATTCGATAAGAGATCCGAGAGCCGATTTGTACCTCAACAACCATGCAGTCGATGGCCCAGTATATAAGACATATTGCGACAAATATCTCCCAAGTAAAGCCCAAGTTTTCTCTTGTACAAGATCCTTCTTCTCATCCAATGCATTGCCACCCTCTTCACTCTGCTCTACAGGGGGAATCCATGGTTGATGTTTCCTAAGCAGTGAACCTCAAGCAAGTCAACAAAAGCAGACTCAACAGATCGATCATGAGCTTTTTATTTTTAAAGAACGCAATAGTACTTGTATCCGTCTTCGATCTGCATCGCCAGATTCTCGTCGCATGGAATGACCTTGCTGCCGTCAACTTGGAACCATGTACCTCGTCGAATTTCGTACGTTGGACCTAGCCAGTATACCTAATTACGTGTAGGCAAATCAAGCTAACTTATATAAGCAACTAGAACAAGTACTATATCAAAGCATAAAAGTTCCAGCATCGACAAGGAAAGAGTGAGAAACTCGCCCCCCATTATAAATCCATCCATACCGGCTCGATTTCTCGATTCTCAATGTCAGCTTCGAACAAATAGTCCTCATTGCACGCCACTTTGACACCAGGTTCGTTAGATTGATACGCTTGCTCTAGAGCATTCGAATCTCTCTTTGAGAATGCAACCCAATTTGATGGTTGCTTAACTATCTTTGTTGCCGGTGTTCCTGTACTTGTAGACGAAGCTGCAGGTTGCGGCGGTGTGGTTTTCGTTGGATCGCGTTGCGGACAATCAATGGCATGAAACCTTGATAACAAACAATCATTAAATCTAATCAATGTAATATTCAGATATGAAAGCCCTCCTTTTCTGTTACCCGTAAGAACCAGTCTTATATCACCTATGTCTCAATGGATATCTTGATCAGTAATTATAAACATTTTTTCGACTTACCATCTAACTGGCAATTCAGGACAGCCTGAATGAATAGTCGAGCTGGCGTGCGAACTAAACGACATTGTGGTTTAACTTCTACGTTTACGAGTACTTAGCCGATCGAAATATTTATTCTAATATTAATACTTAGAGGTTTAATAACACGTGAAAAATTCGATGGGAATGTTACGCAAAAATACATTTTTTGGGGCGCCGGGGAGTATTTATTTGGAGATTTATAATCTCATTATTCAGGTATTTGTATTTGAGAAAAGTCTAAATTTTTAGAGCCTTTTGCATGGCTGACGGTATTCTTCACTATCACTATTGATAGTCTTTGGTTTTCTAGATTGTTGCTCGTATTAGCAATTCGCTTCAAATATGGGTGGGGGGAAAATCAAATTGTAAATTTCATTCTTGGTGCGGGCCAATTTTTTAAGGCATTATCAGAAATGGAAAACTTGTTACACGATTTTGAATAATGACAGTAACAGCCCATACAGTACATTAGAGGCGATGACGTTACTGAAAATGCTATTTAAAGTGTGGTGAATGAGATTAATTGATGAAGCGAAAGTATTGGTCTAAATCTTATCACCCGCTACATATCAAACAGCGTGGGAAAATGGACAGATCTGTTTCCTCTACAAGTATAAGCACAATTAGGAGAAAATCCTGGGATGATGAGTTCTTTGATTTGTTATAAAAGGTCAAACAGAAAATGTTAAGCATTATTGGAATAAATCGAACCAGTTTGCTAAAAAAGAGTGAGAAGGCTTGTCGAAATGAGGGTTAAAATGATCTTAACTCCGTTGTTGCGTGAAGCTATTACCTGATAATTAAGCTGTTCCTGATCTAATACGATGTTTAGACAAGAATATATCATTGACCACCATCAGGTTAAGATCGTGCATCAAGTGATGAAGGTGCAAATTTACTATGCGAACAATAAGTTATTCTAAGATAAGTATGCAAGGAAACTTTCCTACGTGAATCAAC